CAACTTTTTTTGTAATGCATTTTTCTGGATTTTTTTTTTGTTATTGTTGTGTCTCTCACTGTTCACATAAACCTACCATTGAAATTGTAGACTGATCATTTCTTTGTTAGTGGGCAAACTTACAAAATCAGCTGGGGTTCAAATAATTTTTTCCCTGACTGTATATTTATATATATACATACATACATACATACACACACACATATATATATATATATATATATATATACATAAATAATAGTGTAACAGTATAGCATATATAAAATAAACTTTTCTGCATTGAGTAGCCTGTTTCTACTTTTAATATTTTAAGTACATTTTCATAATAATACTTAATTTTACTTGACATTTTCAATGCAGGACTTCTACTTGTAACAGAGTAGGCTACTGTGGGACATTTGTACTTTTACTTAAGCAAAGGATGTGAACACGTCTTCTACTACAGGTACTAAAATGCAAACTAACATGCTTTAGTTAAATAACGTTATTGTTATATGCTGTTTTTTTAAATCTCGTCAATTGCTGCAATCCAGTTCAGTCAACTATCACAGTCACGTGCATAAAAAGACCCCTTTTCCCATAATTTTGAGGGTCATTGCATCTGATAATAATAGTGATTATGTAATACCATATACCGTAATACCATGAAACTGTGATATTTTCTGAGACGGTTATCATACTGTGAAAGTCTCATATCATTGCAACCCTAACACACATTCAATCCAGCATGCAAAAAACAAAAAAATATAACATGAGATAAAACACAAGACTAACTTCTTGTGTTTAGCAAAAGTGAGCTGACAGCTCAGTTAAACATGGAGTTGGATGAGTCAACCCCTGACCTTGGCCAGTAAAACACAAGTGAGTATGGAGTACACACTGTCCTCACCAATTGTCTTATAGCAGCTTATACATACCCTGACTCAGCATCAGCAGACCGTGGCAAGCCTGGCACGACCACTCGTTCCTGACCCCTAACTAGCCTTGTTCAGCAGAGCAACTGCTACCCAAACATCAATATGCTTTTTGTTTTCATTCAGGATTGTGTTTCACCACATAATTCACTAATATGAACTCATCTGAACTGCACCACTTTCCAAACTCACAGATCAACTCAGTGGGAAGGTGTTTGTTTTGTGTGTGTGTGTGTGTGTGTGTGTGTGCACACGTGTGCCTATGTTTGTGAGTGTATGTGGTAAGTTCTCCTGAACTGCACACAAGCAAACTTACGAGAAGAATGACCACTTTACACAAATCAGCATGGTACCTAAAATAACAGAAATTGCCTTTGGGAACATTATATTTGATCTGTATTAAAAAAGTTTTAGTTCAGCTCACATCCCATCTGCTAATATAGAGGGGGCGGGGTTTATGACCTATACTGCAACCAGCCACTGGGGGGTGATCGACTTGTGGTGGCTTTACTGCTGGGGAGCTGTCGTGTCATCCATCTTTATATAACCCACCCTAAAAAAAATACTGAATGTGAAGATGCAAGTTTTTCACCTGATAATAGCAACATACAACTGCATCCCTGACTCATTTTTCTGTCTGGTATGCAGTGTAGCACTGTGGTTTTCTCACTCCCCACTACGGTTATGTCAGCCGTGTAGATGGCAGTTACAGTCTGCTGATGAGGTCTAACAGTCACTGGCAATCTGTCAGATCTGATGCTGCTACTGAGATGTCACAGACGGCTGGATGATAGAGAAAGAAAGAAAGTAGAATAAAGGAGTGAATCAATCAATTCATCATCTTACCTTCTCTCCAGAGGCTCCAGTGAGGACAAAGGTGGAAAAAACAGGGAGGGAGTATTTAGTGTTAGCTGGCCAGCACTCGAGCGCAGCCCCCATGGGAAGGCAGAAGAGAGGGACAGACTCTGGCAGAGGGAATGACTCATAGTCCTCCTCTGGATATCTGCTAAATAAACCTAGGAGAAAAAAAAACAATACAAAAAGAGAGAACTCAATTTAGAGAGCTGCTAAATACAACCTACCTGTGATTACAAATTAAGAGCTAATAAACATGCAATGTGCTGCCTTCCCAGTAAGCTTAAAACAAAGCAGAACAAGTTCAATTAATATACTGACAAGATTAATGTACAAATTTACTAATTTAGTGTTCACTCGAAACAGAATGTAGCAGTGGAGTTATAAACAGCACCAGGTAGTTTAGCAAACTTCAAAGGAATAGTTCGACAATCAATATAGTGTCTTATCAGGAGGTCCCTGCCAGTCCCTAAACATTAGGCTGCTGCAGTATATACCGTGTACACTGAGGAATGTCCTTCACAGTATATGCACTGTTCTATGGATAAAGGTGCACACTAATAATATGTTTAATTTCATTACAAAATGATAATTATCCACCAACAAAACACACTCAGCTTTGATCACTCAGTTCTGGATACATGTGTTCCATTTGTCTGAACAGATGTTGCAAAACATGTTTGTTTCACAAACTTGCTTGCAAAGCATGATGCATGCTGGATTGTTTCTGGCCTAAAATGTTGGGAACAAACTTAATTTCTTTGAGATGACTCACCCAAAGCATCAGTGAGAAACAAATGAGATCGCTCTATTCACAGTCTGCTGCATACTGAAGACATACAGCAGACCATCTGCCAGTCAATGTGAGGCTGAGCCAAATACAGCCATACTGAGCCAAGAGTAATGTCAGAAAATAATCTTCTTTCAGTGTTGTTGGCTTTGAAAAGTCAGATGCACTTAATGTGTCAATATTACCATCAAACATATGACAACCATTTAAACAATTCTAAGGGGAAGAATACTGGAGTTCAGAGCAATTATGAGCATCAGCATGTTTCAACAAGTCTGAACATGCAAGCACATCTGTGGCACTCTGCAGCACATCATCCCCTCTACAGACAAGTCAGCAACAGCACCATCATAACACATACAAAAACAGGCAATTATGTTTAATGAAATAAATATTTATCACTTCCACATGAACTCAATCATTTTTATTACAAGTGGTTCAATTTACGGTTCAAACAACCACAAGTAACTTTACAAATACAATTACCAGCCACTTTATTAGGTACTGTACACCTGTACAACTGTATGCACTTCAATGCAACACATCCACCTTAACATCTGTGTTTATGAAGCTCAAAATGTTTCAGTTTTTGGTGAAACTGTCATAAATGTATACATTCAATTATGTGTTTGTTATTGAGGTCATAGTTAAAGGTGGGGTTGTCCTGAACTACACTGTATTCAGAGGCGTCTCTATATTTTTGTCCTCCACAGCTACATACATGAGAGGGTCAGAATATTAGAAATACTGTAGCTCTGAATAGGGGTGGCTGTGGATCAGGAGGTAAACTGGTTGTCTCCCAATCAGAAGGTTGGTGGTTTGATTCCTGGTCTCTCCAGTCTATGTGTTGAAGTATCCTTTGGCAAGACACTGAACCCCCAGTTGCCCCTGGTGGCCAAGCAATAACTGACAGGGCTGTCATCAGTAAGACACACACCCCACCCCCATGGGGATTAATAAGTATAATTAATTAAAATAAAAGAATACCTAATAAAATGACCTGTAAAATCACCCTCTATTCAGTTTTTCTCACTCCACAAGCCAGTGATCAGAGCAGGGATTGAGGAGAGACAAAGTATTTAGAGATGAATTTGTGTGTACTGGTAGTTATGGGGTTAGGAAGGCTTACCTGCTTTGTAGGCTATCAAGTTAGTTTTGGTCACAGACTTCTTATAGCACAGGTACACAGAGGAGCCCCACTGAAAAGAACATGCAAAATGGGAAAAGTTAGCATGTTATCCTCTTTGGGCCAATCAGGAAAAAAATACATAATCCAAAATTCCAATATTCCAGTTGCTCTCTTTCAAAGATGAAATTACAGCTTGACCTTATTACTTCAGTTACGACCACCATCAAACAAGGCATAACACCACCAGCTGCTTAAACCTCTCACCTTGCTTCAAGAGGAGGAAAAGATCTTTTTATTCAGAAGAGGTCTGTGAAACAATTATTTTCATCCCAGTGTTATATTAATGGAAATTTTCCAAACTGATTTCCTCCCATTCTAGAAAACAATTGGTCTTTAAGATGTAGAACATGCTGCAGATACAGTGTGTACTGTACATGTAGTTTATCAACAGTTAATGGTTTATTTTTGTAACTGTTCTATTATGTAATGCAGTCACATGCAGGCCCTGTTTTGAAAGCCCTCCTTGATTATGTATTCACCACTGCTCCGAAATGTGAAACTTGAGAGTCGGCTGCTGAACATAAAAACATTTTAAATGCATTCATGACCCCTGCTTCAATCAGCATTAATATGTGGCATATATTAATTTTCTTTGTGTGCGTGTGTGTGTGAGGGGTGGGGGGCAATTCTGCTTTAAATAAACTGAGACAGCAAAGAGCTGGCAGGGAATGAAGAAGGAGAGATGGGATGACATGAAACACTGTCTCCGGCCGAATAAGAACCAGAAATGTTGCGACTGTCATGGCCAGTAACTCTAACCTCAGTAGCTCCACCGCCATCTGTGGCTAAGTGTGGGTGTGTGTGTGTGGCCTTGATTTTCTGTACTATTCTATGGGTGAGAATAACACCAAACACACACATTAGTAGAGGTCTTAAAGCTCAACAACAGAAACAGCATTTAAAAACTTCTGGAGGCAATGTGGAATGGTTTTACACAATTTTGTACAACTGGATGCACTAGCCAATTTGGATACCTCAGCTATGGGATGAAATCTAACTACTGAAAAACCACAACTATCTCACAACCAGTTGACCTACAGTACATTTTCATCCTATAATCTGCACAAATCCACAGTATATTTAAGCACAGAGACACTCTACTTAGTCTGAGGCTGTTTTTCCCCACAACAACTCCATCATTTCAAAATTCTTTAACAGATGAAAGTGTTAAATCTGTCAATGTATAATAAAGCTTATGTTTAATTATTGGATATTGCTAACAAGTTTACAAAGCTCATTGCACTAACTTAAAACTTAATTTACATTAAGAGGGATTCTAGGGGAAGTGAGGATTCTCAGTGAAGAATATCTTAACATTTTGAGTTTCACACAAGTTTCTGACAAAATGAGCAGTCTGCTGAATTCAAATGTTAAGGAGAAGCAAAAAAAAAATCCATCTTCATATGTTAATAACTTGTTTTGTTGTTTTTTTTAATGGCCCGGCGATATGACGCACTGATAACACACAAACTACAAATCCCATAATGCAGCGCAACAGCTGCCTTACCGAAAGATAGGCTACCTGCGATCATTCCCGCGTCAATTACGTCAGATCAATCAAGCGTCTGTTGATGTATACAACCTCAATTTCAAGTCAAAGCTAGCCCCTAACAATGGCCAAGAGGAAAGTTGATTCTGAAAGCAGAGCCTTTCTAAACCGGTGGGGGCCTGAGTATATGTTTACTGACATTGTCGGTAAACCCGTGTGTCTTATTTGTGGAGCTAATGTGGCTGTAATTAAGGAATATAACCTAAGACGGCACTACGAGACAAAACATCAGGACAAGCTGAAAAACGTGAATGCAGAGCAGAAGCTACAGAAGGTAGAGGAGTTGAAGAGGAATCTGACATCACAGCAGACGTTTTAACTAAAGCCAAATCACACAGTGAAACTGCTTTGTTTGAAAATGTACTAAGCCTTAGCAGAAATACGGTTGCTGATTTTAAGTTTAAGTTTATTTATTTTGGAATAATATTGTATCCTGTCTGTTTTGATTCATATTTATGTTCAAAAAACGTTTAGTTTTAGTCTGTTCAATAAATGTTTATCCTGTTCGGCCCGCGACCTAAAGTGTGCTTTGAGTTTTGGCCCCCTGTGCGATTGAGTTTGACACCCTTGATCTATACCACTTATCCTAACGAGGGTCACAGGGGGCTGGAACCAATCCCAGCTGACATTGGACGAGAGGCAGGTTACACCCTGGACAGGTTGCCAGTCTTATCACAAAGCTGATACTTAGAGACAGACAAGTATACTCGCTCATAGGGTCAATTCAGAGTCACCAATCAACCTAAGCTGCATTTCTTTGGACTGTAGGAGGAAGTCAGAGTACCCAGAGAGAACCCACGCAGGCACAGGGAGAGCATGCAAACTTCGCACAGAGAGGACCCGGGTTGGCCTGGGCTCAAACCCTGAACCTTCTTGCTGCGGCAACAGCGCTAACCACTGCACACCATGCCACCTCAAAAGCAACTATGACACAAAAATTCTATAAAAGGAAACAGACGCAAGTAATACAAAATGTAAAAAGTACATTGTTACAGTTATTGTAACAATGATTAAGTGCTGCAAAATTGAATATGCACCAGAGTGGCTCTCACCATGCTGCTGTTCAGATTCTTGTCCACCTTGCAGAAGGTATGGGGAGGTGTCTCTCCCTTGCTTGGGATGATGATGCAAATGTCAGTGACAGCCAGGGCAGCGTGCGGCTGGCTATCGGGTGCACAACGGTATGTAACGTAGATGCGCTGGGAGGAACTGCCGCTGATATTGGCTGGACGACCAGAGGGTGTGGTCTGGATGAGGTGACATCCATGCTTCAGTCGCTCCTTCCATTCATACAGCACACTGAGAGGAAGAGAGACAGTACTGGAGTCAGCCAAACAAAACTCCACATCATCATGTACTGTAGGTATTAGTGTGATTATGATCTCAAATTAAGAAACATAATATGCAGTCATGAGCCAATTACATGCTCACCTCTCCCAGTTTTTCATGGAATGCAAGTCATGTGAAACAATGCAGACATTTAAACTTAATCGGTTTCAGCCCTTGATGCAATTCATGAAAAACCTGTCAGACATCTATGAGCCTATAGAGTCGCAGTCAGTGTACAGATTTACTCAAGTACTGCACTTTTGAGTCCACAATTTTGAGGTATCTGTACTTCACTTGAGTATTTCCCTTTTTTGCTACTTCATACTTTGACTTCACTGCATTTTGGATACAAATATTGTACTTTTTACTCCTCTACATCTATTTGATAACTTTAATTACTTTTCACTATTAATAAAACTAAATCCAGTATAATCATACAATAAGACTTTGTTAATGCCTGGTGTGAAATTCACAAGCTACCATACAGCGCTTTTAATTGTAAAAATACAAGATAGGTAAAATTTGCTCCCCTGTACCAGCTGCAGTATTAAATGTGATAAACACAATAATGCATCAATACTTATAATCCCATAATATGATACAGCACCATCAATATGAAATGTGCACTTTTGCTACTTTAAAGATATTTTGATGCTAATCCTTTTGTTCTTTTACTTGAGTAACCTTCTGAATGCAGAACTTATTTGTAACAAGGTATTTTTACACTGTGGTACTGCTACTTTTGCTTAGTGAAAGGTCATTTAAAAATTTATTTGTAATTCATAATAATGATATTTGCGCATGAAAGCATGACAGCTGTGGGGAAGTGACAGTGGTGCGGTGGGTAGAGCAGTCGTCTCGCCTGTGATCACAGCATGCATGCACGCAGCGGCCTGGGGCCCTCAGCTCCAAACCTAATTTTGTTGTACGCGTCACAATGTTACAAAGACAATAAATAAAAGCTTCTTCTGTGGCAGCTATGTCACATACAAATGTATTCCATCTAAAGACAAACCTTTTTCACCCTTTATTTAGGCAAAATGGTGCTTTGAGGTTAAAATCAATTTTTTTTTGCCAAGAGAAGTTTAAATAACTGAATTTAATTTATTTCATACAGTATATGCTTATAGCTTTATGTACAGTGCAGTCAGTCAAAACATATTGAACCAGTACAGTATTACAATTAGGCACAAGAGGAGACTCAGAGCAGAGAGGAAAAGTACTCAGAGGTATATAACAGCAGCAGGGATTTAAAACATCCCACTTTGTGCTTCCATTAGGCACTTATCTTCCATTATTGTTTACAGTGGAACCCGACAGGCATTTTTGGCACTATCTGCCAGAAGCTGAAAAACGTAGAAAGAAAAAAAAAATCAACTGGACTAGATTTCTAGGTCCAAGACGTTTCACCTCTCATCCAAGAGGCTTCATCAGTTATGCCCGACTGGCGTTGAGTCGGTAATATTTATCCCCATCGGTGGTGTTTCAGTCCTTTGATGCCCAACAATGTCCCCTAACGACTGATTCGTTATAGCCCAGTATCGGTGAGAGTCCTTACCTGTCTTTGAACCCTCACCTATGGACCAACACCTATTGTCCTGGTGGGCATGATTGGGCAGAGATCTCAAAACAGAACTGTAGATGGATGAGAAGTTGTGTCTTAGTCCACCACCCCTATTTAGTGAGGGGTGTTCTATTTGGACAAAAATAGCTTCCTTGACTCCTCTGTCATACTAGCGATGTTCTCTGGAGAGGATCTTGGCCCGTATTCACAAAGCATCTTAGAATTCTCTCAGAGAGCTCCTATCTTAGCCTAAAAAGTCCTTGCTGGGAGTCCTAGACTAAAAGTGATTTAGGAAACTTCTCAGAGCAACTCTGAGCAAGGAAAGTACAAAAACTTTTATCTTAGTGAAGAAGTGTGGTTGACCCCGTTGCTAGGGATGACGCAGCAAATCATAGACTGTGATTGGTTGATAAAGAATCCGTCATGGTCTTTACAAAAATGTGGTCTTTGTGAAAAGAGAATATATGATAATATGATGGACAGTGAAATCATAATGTTTGTATATATATAAAATATATATAATCATGAATACAGGCTACTTTAAGCAAAGTTTTTGTTATAGGCTAAATATCTTAAAGTTAATTAAAACCGTATTGATGCTGTGGTACCTCTTTCTGTTCACAAAAACGTCTTCATTTTCCGATGGTGGGATTATGTGAATGTGCGTCCCATCAATTGCACCAGCAACACCGGGGAAACCTGCTATGTCCATGAATGCCCTTTTGTGAGTCTGCAGAGTATGAACGTCCAGTGGAAATGAAATAGACCGTGTCACTGTATGAGACTGTGAAAGCGCTTCAATAGTTTGTGCCATCACTCTGCTGATGGAAGGTTGTGACAGAGACAAGTCATTGCTGCTGCACTGTTTATACCTCAGCATTGTAATCACTTTGATTTCTGGCGTTATGGCATTACTACGAGCGGTGGGAGATGTGAGCGCACCTCTAATAAGGTCAACCACAAACATAATCCCATCGTGATCCAATCTGTAGCGTTTAATTAACTCACAGTCGTTCATTGTTTCAAGAATATTTCTTCTTTCCACCATTTTGTCCGCTGCTAGAGGAACTCTTAAGCCGCTTAAAAGGCCCCTCTCTCTACTCTTACGGATTTTTACCTTAGGAGCTGTTCTTAGGCCTAAGATGTTTCATGAATCACTTTTATCTTTACTAAGATTATGTCCTAAATTTAAGGGGAAATTTAAAAAAAAAAACGTCATTAAAAAAAACATCTTCTTAGAATTTCATCACTAGGACCAACTTTTAGGCTTAGGAAGCTTTGTGAATATGGGCCCTGGACTTTACTGTCCTCAAAAGAATGTCCTTTGTCCTTCAGGTGGAGGTGGACTACTGATTCTGGTCCACTGGAGTTGGCCCTCCTGTGTTGGGCCATGCGTTTGTGAAGCGGCTGCTTAGTTTCACCAATGTACAAGTCATTACACTCCTGACTACACTTAATGGCATACACCACATCACTCTGTTTAAGTCTGGGTGTTTTGTCCTTCAGGTGGACCAGTCTCTGCCACAGGGTGTTCCCTGGTTTAAAGTTAACTGGGATATTGTGGTTGTGAAAGATCCTTTTACTTCTCTGATAAAGAAGCCAAATTAGTAACGACAGTGTTATCCCCTCTTGTTTCTGGTTTCTCCCTGTTGGTGTTGGGCCTCAACACCAACTTACTATTTTCAGCTTACTATGACCTGGATGACTGAGAATCTGCACGGACATACAATATCTGCCAAAAGAAAAGAGAACTGAATTTAAAATGGTCAAGTGTGGGGACTTTTTATTTTGTCTGTATTTCTATTTCAGTGCTCAAAGCTGTGATGATTCTGCTTAACCAGCTCAAACACTGTGTGCTCATCTGTCTCTGTTGTTATATATCAGGCTTTTTGTTTGTTTTTTTGTCATTGCAGTCCTGGCCATTATTGCGTTTGCCATGTTATCTTTATTGATACAGCCACCAATTCTGTAAAATTTTAAACCAGTCTTTGTGTTTGCTAAATCAGTGTCAGATTACTTCCCATAAAGCTACATTTGTGTTAGCACATCAGGGTTTTTTGTAGTATTTTCTAAAGAACCTGTCTTCAGTTTAGCTGAGGTGGCCCACTTCTGCTAGAAAATATGATTCAGTGATTGAAGTACAACAGGCTTCACAGAAAACGAGCAGAAGTGCCATTTCATACAGAAAATGTCATATTTAATAAGAGTGGCTACTGTCAGCTACTTAGTTTCATTTCACAGTGGAAACCCTGAGGGTGCCATTACTCCTCATATTCATATCTAGTCTTCAGCACTGAACAAAGCCAAATTGATATGATCAGTGGTTAAAGATAACACTAATTAGTCCCTCTGTAGGAAGTAAAAATGGACAAATGGCTACACCTGCACACACACACACCTCTGCTTCCCACTAGTTCCACCACTGTCTGGGAAGTGCAGCCACTCTGGGGTATCAGCACACAAAAGCTGCTGATACAGTCTGAGCAGAGTGTCTGTGTCAGTGCTTGATGACCACTACACTCCGCAGTGTCCTCCTTAGCACTGTCACCACCAGCCTCAACCAGCCAGCAGTGTGAAAGGACTGAACAAACAGTACTGAATTCACACAGTTCAAAAGATTTTGCTGAGAAGGACGCCTGTAACAGCATTTCACACTATTCAATGGAGAGCAGCTGCAAGGCAGAAAGAAAGCTGCTGCTGCTGTGGAAAAGTGCTGCACAGGAAAAAAATTCAGGCAGAGCAGAGCACTTTCTAATGCTGAGAGCACTTTAGTTTTTCAGAACACACAATATATAGGCCACTTTTTAGACAGGAACCATACTCCTCACTCACAATAGCAAAGAGCAGTAGGGTGGAGTTTCATGCAAGCAGAAAGCTAACAGCAACCTCAGTGTCTGATGACAGCAGCTGATAGCCAATAGGAATGGGACATTAGGGCTTCACTGTTTCATTTAGAGTAGAAACAATTAGTTGATTAATCAGTTACTTCATCAAAAAATAACCTGCAACTATTTCAATAACTGATTAACTATTCTCAAAATGTCAAACAATTTCCAATTCCCACTTCCTGCTTGAGGGTACCATGACTGGGTATAAAAAGGAGCATCCACTAAAGGCTCAGTCTTTGCAATGAAGGATGGGTTGTGGCTCACCACTTTGTACCAAACTTCCTGAGGGAACTGTCAATCAGTTAAAAAAGAATATTTATTGACACAAGACAAACAATTTAAGCCTTTCACCATTAATAGTACACTGTACACAATACTGTAAAAAGATTCAAGTACTCTGGGGAAAATATCAGCACATAAAGGCAAAGAGTGAAAGCCACTGTTGAATGTGCATGATCTTCAAGCCCTCAAGAGGCATTGCATGAGAAAATGTCATGCTACCGTGATGAATATAACTGCATGGGCTCAGGAGTACTTTGGAAAATTGTTGTCATAGGGTTGTGACAAGATCTTGTGATACTAAAGCATGACGATATTTCTCGTCAAGGCAAAAGCTGTCTTGCGTTATCAGTACATAATAGAACCAGGCCAGTATGATGGGGTATGATGATACATTCACTTAGTCAAGCAAAAACACATTTCCCTGCTGTGTTTTAATGCATGGAGCTGCGTTGGTCATAGGGTGAGGCGTTGCAGGGGAAGTGTTGTATGTGTGATATGGACACGCTGTGATGAGCCAAAGCAAGTGGCTTCATTCACGTTTCCAACCCCTAGATTTCCATTGTGTTTTGGTTAGCCATGCTGCTAATGTAGCCTGTTATACCTTAGCACCAATTTCTACCACTAGTGTGTTGGCATTGCTAGATAAAAATTGTTTAACATCTAGTATTAACGAAAATGCATGGTGTGTCATTATGGTAGGTTAATTGTGGCCCAACAGTGAATAGCAGTGAATGCTCATGCTAACAAGGTAAACAAAAGAGTCTCCTTCCCGTGGGAGTCCATGTCCCCGAATGTCCCCAGTGTGTGATTGGTCAGCGCCCTTCAGATGATGTCACTGTCTGGTGCAGTGTGATGAGGGTGAAAATAGCATAGAAGGTCACACACAGCTTCAATTAGAAGTTAGAAGCTCATGCACAGTTATAAGGTTTGAAGAAACTCATGAAATCATTCAGGAAAGAGGCCAGTCACCTGAGTTTGTGGCAAAACCTTTTACAGTGATTGCATATTGTTGTCTTTTACTGCAAATTATAATTCATGCTCATTTCAGCAGGTCCATGCCAGGCTTCATTCTGCATGCGCTACAACAGCGTGGCTTCATAGACACATAGCACATGTGCTTGACTGGCCTGCCTGCAGCTAAGATCTGCCTCCTATTGAAAATGTATGGTGCATCACGAAGAGGAGAATCAGACAATGGTGACCACAGACTGTTGAGGAGCTTAAGTCTTACATCCAGAAAGAATGGGCCAAATATTCCACTTGTAAAACTGCAACAATTAGTATCCTCACTTCCAAAACAATTCAAACATGTAATTAAAATGAAAGGTGTTCTAACACAGTGCTAAAGAGGCTTCTGTCCCAACTTTTTTTGTGTGATCCAGGCATCAAATTGTAAATTTGTTTATATTTACAAATGCAATAAAGTTAGTCACTGAAAACATTAAAACCATTTCTTTGTACTTTTGTCAGTTAAAGGTTCAAGCAAATTAACAAATCACAGAGTTTAGTTTTCAAAATACTTTGGAAAATGTCCCAACTTCTCTGGAACTGGGGTTTGTAATTACAGTAAAAAATCTTACATCTATGAACTTTTGGACAAAACAGCATTTGAAGAGGTCACCTTGGGCCTTCAGAATCTTGTTACCTATTTTATTGACTTAAAAATATATTTACTATACAAATAACCAGTTATTTTGGAATTTAAAACCAATAGAATTGTTCATTCAGAATCAATGGATTCAATGGTCCAATGGACATTACTACTTAGACTTCCACAGATATTTTGCACAAGTTTTAATTTCTGAAATTTCAGCATAATAAAACTGTATAATTGTATGTTTACAATGATCATCTTTATGTGAAGAAGCAGCAGAAGCAGTTGTGGCAAAGCTAAGGTGCAAGACTGGTTTTAAGACTCCTTACACCGGTATTATTACATCTTTCCTTCAATACACCAAATTTTCAAATTCAACCAAAATTTTTAAATTTTGGCTTTTTGCAGAAATACCTTTAGTGTGTCATCACGGTGGAAAATGTATTCTGATTTGCCCTGAAAATATGCTAATAAAAAACTGTATTTGTAATGACTAGCACAAATGGGCCTTTAAATCTAGATTTAATGGTTGTAGTTCAATGTCACTGGAACAGCTGATACCAATACTAATGCTTCTCTACACAGAGGCAGGTCCACATATGCAGGGACAGGAACGAATAATCTGTCATTATGCAACTACAAACAATTTTCCTCCATAGAACACACAATGAAAATTCAACTTTGTGTAGAATAAACATAATTCTAGACAAAAAAACAATAGTTTTGGTTTCCATTGTGGCAAATTATAATTATTCACCCATGAAAATTTGGTGGAATGTCATACATTGAAAAAATTTACACTACCCAACAAGGATTATAACTGACTCCTAGTCAATGATGAAGTTCGAGATAACTAGAGATTTAGAGATTTGCATTATACTGCAGAGAGGACTCCTTTAATACTACTAACCCGAGGTCCGTGAGTGGCGGCTTGTCACAACCTCGCCTGTAGCACAGGAACACCTGGGGCACCATCAGACCACCATTGTTAAGATCAGCCGAATGGCCAGTTGGTGTTGTCTCTATGCAAGTGAACCCCAGCGGCACCTCCTCACCCAGCGAGCGGATTATCACGGCCACATCAGTGATGGGCACCTTAGGCTTGGCCGTCTTGTGGCAGACATCATCAAAGTGGATTTCCTGGTCCAACGGCTTGGATGAGTCTGTCAGACCGGCCACCACAAAGTAGTCGGCTATGCGAGGGCCTTTGTCCTCCATCATCTCCCATCCCCGCCAGCTGCCTGCACAGTAATGAAAGGAAGGAGAAAGACAAAGTCACAGGGTGGGAGACAGAGAGAGGGAGGGGAGATTAATTTTAATTGTGGTAGCAGATAGAAACTTATTGCATCCCTACTATGGCAGTAAAAAATCTGGCAATCATAACTCTTACTAAGGGGCAGCCAGTGGAAGGGAAAATGAAAAAGGAGGGTAAAAATGACCATATTGACTTCAGTTCACATGACCAGCTCAAGGTTCAGGGATGGGCTCAAAGACAATTTGACAAAACACATTTGGACAAAGCACTGTAGGCGTTGAGGGGTTTGAAATTCTCTTTAATTCTAAAAAGTGAAACAGCACAGTTTTATCATTCTGAAATAATTACAGACTATTGGGAGTTATGAGGGGTGCAAAGCTAATCCAGAGGTACCCAAGATTAAACATTAAATGGCTGGAAATGAGCATGCCATGGGCACTTTAAGCACGCTGTTAAAGGCCAAAAAGTAGTTTCCTTAATCTAATCTAAGAAGGGCATCACTGACACTTACTGCAAAAGCACAGGCTAAAGGCACAGCAACAGGTGTGGGTAAACAGGTTAGCACTAGAGAAACATGCAATATGTCATCGTGTGAAAATAAAAACAGGACATCTGTAAAATCTGCACCTGGTCAAAGTCCTAAAAACAACACTGACATGAGTTACAGCTGTTATCTTTTCAGTTGAGCAATGGTCAAAGAGCGAGCCTCCAAACAATATGAAGAAACACATTCACCACCCTCTGACAACAGCCAGTGGATCTTAATGTTACTTTTATCAAGCACAGCACTTGACCGCTGTGCTGCGATCACAGTGCGATTCCAAAAAAAAAAAAACATTGGAGTCAGTACCCCTGAGGTCAAAGTCTGAGACAAAAGCTATTGGGGCAAAAGCACACTTGAGAACAAAATTTGTGGCATGAATAGATACTATGGCTTCTAAAGAGCAGTGGCTAGAGGATTTGCCACAAAGATTCCCAATGTGACAATTCAAAGAAAGAAAAAACTGGAATGTAAAATGGGTTATCCTTATTATTGCTGTATCCATTTTTACCCAATTATTTTTCAGTTTACTGACATTATTGCCTTAAGCCTCATTTCTTTTGACAAAGCAGGTCTACATTTTGCATAAAAATGTTTCAAAATGCTAAATGCAGATAAAAGAAATATTGCGAGTCAGTTTTGTTATCCAATGCAGCCTCTGGGTGGGGTGGTATAAAATCTCAGTCTGCCTCAGTGACCAGATTCATCACTTGACCTCTTCACAGTGAAACCTCTGGGACATGTTGCTGTGGGTTGAAATGTTAGCTCTGCCAATACTCTTCTCCCGAGCAGTCTTGCAAAACTACAAGAACACAATGGGTCCTTGACAGCTGAAATGAGGTGGTGTGAAAAACATGTAAGAAATGGATGTAAGAAAACAGGCCAAATGTGTCTTAAGCTTTTCAAATAAAACTGAATTTTGAGGAGAATGTGAAAGCTGTTTTATTTCTTTAAAAACTTTCTCAAGTTTGTGTCACAGTCAGTGACCTCTTCTCACCCCGATTTTGGAATCCAAGAGTTTCTGCCCAATTTAATTCTCAGTAATTCAACTGAACAAGGTCTGTGATTCTACCAATATGCAGTAAAGGGGTATGGGAAGAGAAGCTTAATTAGCAGGGTGTGTTAGCTAGTCTAAATGTGTTGATTCAGGGTGAAAGGTGAAAAAGCTGTCAACTCCAGTCTTGCACATGTTGCTGTGCTAATTGGCAAGAAGAATTCATATAAAAACAGCAACACTATCTTCATCATCTAATCATGCAGATGAGACTCATGTCATCCAGGTTGCAGGCAGCAGAAAAAACAGAATCCCATGTGTATCTGGAATTTCTTTGTTAACTAATTTTTTGTCTAATTAGTGGTTTTGTCTATCAATAGCCGATTTATACAACATTTGGTGAAGAAAAGGCTTTATTTACATAACCCTAACTAAAGCTGGGTGTGTACTGCTTTAATAAAAATTTAATTTGAAGGGTTAATGAGACAAGCTTGTATCCAAACAAAGAGAGATTTGTGTTTCTTCATTGGAGTGTCACATTCAACTACTGATAGATGATGAGAAAACATTGGTTCAATGTGTTCTGGCTCTTAGACTTGGATTACAAATGTATCTCATCACTTCTTCACTGCGAGAAACTGATGAGAAGACTGTCACAGTCTCTGCCAAGTGATGCCTGCTCAGCTGTAATAAGGCAGGAGAAGTGACATAAGTGAGTTGGATCCAATCCTCTCATCCTTCTAGTCCTCACCCAGTATCAAGACATTCAGACCCAATCCCATATTTTAAATCTACCTTGTTACAGCACCCCTCAGCTGAGGAATAACTGCATAAACTAAGAGTGACCACAGCTGTAAGGCCACACATCTGCACAGCATCCTGAGTCCAAGACCATAATCTGCATTACGCTTCCTGTCCAATGCAAAGTGCAGGCTCCTAAAAGTTCCTGGAACACTTGCATTACAAAAGACTGGTGTAACAGGACAGGATGTGAGACATGTGTGCACTTGTCTTTCAGAAATGTTTACAGAGGAATTAAGCATAATGAAAATACACAAAATACAAATGAAAGCGGTCTCTCATTTCATGGTGTACATACTTATGCTGCACATCTTCAAACTTTAACTCATTATACTGATCCAGAACGCAGTTTTTTTTTTTTTATAATAACCGTGACTCAAACTGTCATCTTGCTGCTTTAGGTGGAGTGAAAGAATAGCTAAGACATGAGAAAAGCAGCAGCATAGGGTTGGGTTCAAATCAGCATTCACTCTACATTAAAAAGCAACATGATGTCATCTGTCAAAGTACTACATTGGCCAATTGTATACACATACATACAAGCATGCATTTCTGGTGGATCATTTTGTAATGTCACTACTCTATTTCTGCTGTTCTTGAGAGCAACACAAAACATAAAACAGATGCTGTTGAACCACTGTGCGGTGTTTTGATGTCTAATAAACTAAAAAACACATAAATCCCTTCCTCCAACTTGATTTGCTGGATCATATTACATTTTCTCACCTGTATATGAAACAACATGCCTCCACAAACGCACCCTTACATTGTTTAAAGTAGACTGTTTTCCAGCGTGAACAGGACCTAAGTGATGCAGGAAATGATATGTGAAGGACAGCTCATGGGTGTTGGACAAACACACACATTCTTATCACACCTTCATGTCTGCACACAACATTATCATTAAAAGCCTGCAAATGAGAATGTGTGTGGAAAGGATGAAAGGCAGCCCATTGATGAGGTGATATATCCATGAAGTTGTGTATGTGACTGTATGTGTGCACAAAAACAAGGTTCTGGAGTACATTCTTGTATTTAGCTATAGTGAAAGGCAGAAGCTAACGTGGTCAATATGTAAGATTTTGTAAACAACCATACAGAAGTATAAAGCCACAAAACCAAAGTTCACTTTAAGAGATATGCAAAGCCAATAATGGCTATATAAAAAAACTACATCATATGTAATGTAAAATGAAAGGAATTAAACACGTCTCAGCCATTACAGTCTCGTTTTCTGCTTTACTGACCCAGAGGGAATTTGCATGAGACTCAAATGATAAAAGACAGACTTGGGTATTAGAAAATATCACAAAACACACAATAAGTAGTTACCTCCTCACTGTAGCAAAAAAAAGCTGACCTAACTTATTACAGTTTGATGAATGCAAAGCAGCAGAGAGCTCTGCAGTGACACCTCAACTTTAGACTGACTATAAAGTCACGTGACACACCAAAGAATGACACCCATCCCTGCCATGTCCGCCTCCTAAAAATACAAAGCAAATCAAAATGTTAATATACTGTGGCACACATTACAAAAGGATTACATTACATACTGCATATGTGGGACAAACCTGGACTCCTACTAAAATCAGTTCGCCTCCATTGCCTTCAACCTGCTTTCTCTGCCTGGCCTATATTTCAAGAATAGCTGAGAACAACGTTTATGATTTCACGGCACAGATACAGGTGACAGAATGAAAAATGAACTCTAGACTGGCCACTGCTTTTACTGAACCATTAGTGACTTTTCTAGTAAAGGTGACTGTGAGGATTTATGGGGCAACTGTGGTTCAGTGGGTAGAGCTGTCATCTCCCAACCAGAGGGTTGGAGGTTTGAATCTCGGTGCCTGCAGTCCACATGTTGAAGTGTCCTTGGGCAAGACACTGAACCCCCAAGTTGCCCCCAACGGTTAGAGCCATCAGTGTGAGTTGGTGCCGCAAATGGCTGCCATCGGTTCTGTACCGGAAACAAAATCCTTGTGTGTAACATACTTGGCCAAATAAAGGTGATTATTATTCAAAAACAGAGCCACTGAGAGACATTCAGACTATTCTTAAATTGTGCTGAATTCACATGATGATAAAACCCAGAAACAAAATATTTATCAATTAATTTCAAATAAATTCAAGTCTAGGCATACCTGTGTATCACCCATCTATTGTGTTTTTCCATGGATTTCAGATCATCATTGGATTTTCTCCCAACAACTGCATCCAAAAGATGCTGATTCTGACTCATACTGTGCCTGATACATACGAATAACAATTTGCATCACAGCCGTTTTATCTTAATTTCACTGGCTGCCCTAGTTCTCCTCTGGCAAACTGATGTGGAAGGGAAAGCTTGACTTGCTCTTGTTGTCAACACCCAGAGAGAAGTCGCAACTGATTCCTCCAATCAAGAAAGGCTGTGAATGTTTAAGAGAGGATGTGCTCTGGCTACAAGCCTCATTATAGGTCACTGAGGCTCTTCACAGTGGTCCTGAAGCACTACAGACTATATCTGTGTGTTTCTCAATCATCAACCATATGACATGGATTCATCCAGCATAAATCCTTTAAAACACCGTTTCCCCCAAAAGCTGCATACTATTTTCCTTTGCAAAACTGAAATAAGCAATTGACTTCACAGCACATATAAGGATGT